ATCTTTTGCTGCACATCAGAAATATATTCTTTGGTTTTTCTCATTGTGATGGATGATTAAGGGAATTTGGCCTTTGTTTTCCCTCCTATTTATATTTCTGTTAAACAGGAAGCCATGGCTGGATAATTTCATGTTCATAATCACCCTGGAGTACTCAAAATCGTGAATATGAATGGGAATATATTTCAGATATATTTTACTCATAAGAATTTCTAGGGGTAGCAGTATTTGTGTCCAACGTGTATTTGAGAAAAAAAACATTTATTTCATAATGATATTTCCCCCCATTTTAAATTCTTATTCTCCAATGAAAGGTTAGATTTTTGTGATTTGTTTTAAAAAAGAAAGATCAAAAGGATTAACAATGCAGATTTATTTTCACAGACTTCTTTGATCATATTTACCAAGGGTGCCAATAATTCTGACCACGTGTGTGTGTATATATATGTATATGTGTGTGTGTGTATATAAACAATCAATATCTTTTTCAAGAGAAAAATAAATTACAGTAATTAGTTACTTAGTAATACATTAAACCCAACACTGGTAATAAGTAAATCCATCATGACTTTTTTTTACTTCAAACCATTGCTTCCATCTAAAATATAATATTGCATAATTTGCAATAAGTCACCTTGTCTCACATTGTCACCCTTGTCACGCTCTCATTGGCTTAATGAGTCACCTTGTCTGAATCAGGGAAGAAAACGGCACATATCAAGCACTGTTTACAAGCAAAAACAGTCCAAAATAGTGGCCAGAAGTGACGAGGTTAAAACACCTTAATGATGAATTTGTTTTACAAACACGCAGTTTTTCATTTCACAAGGCATTAATAGATAGAGTCATGTGGATTACTTGTGGATTATTGTGATGTTTTTATCAGCTGTTTGGACTCTCATTCTGATGGCACCCATTCACTGCAGAGGATCCAGTGTTGAGCAAGTGATGTAATGCTACATTTCTATGTTGTGTTTGTAGGATTTCTTAAATTCAATTTTTAGAAAATAATAATTTAGGGGATGCATTTCTCCAAAGTGATTTAACATACAGCAAACAGTCCCACCAGCACAATGGTTATGGTTCGTGGATCATCCCTTGTGGGGTTCACACACCTACAACCTTTCATTTACCAGCTCAGATCTACAACTACAACGCTTTAACACCTCCTTTTTTTAAAGATCTGCACCACATGTTTACATTATAAAAAGATCATGCTGCGTCATACTCACATCAACTGGCTAGAAATCAGAAGTACTTGTTTCACAGTGTCTCTGAATTTCAGTGTGACCTTTCTCAGACTGAGGGGTACACCAGAATCTGATTAACTTGCTAACAATAGCCTTTTTCCACTTCCCCCACGGGCAAAAACTTGAACTACAAATTCCAAGACTAACCAACAGGCATGGACTAAGAAAAGTTAAATAGTTTCATTAATATGGGTTATTTTAGTAGTTGTCCCTATTAAATAAGTAATATTACATGTATGTTGTGTAGCTTGTTGCTGAGTGCAGTGTTTCCAACATATAAGTACAGAGACTACATGTGTAAAAGGCAAGTATTATTATTGTTTATATTTACTGTTAGGGGTTTGCTCTTGTGACATTACTTCTTCTTCTAAAGAACATGCTAATTTCCTTCCAAAAGTAGGGGGAAAAAAATACACTTACAGTGAAGGAGGAACCCGTGTCATATCTAGAAACCATAATATCATTTGGGGGTGGGCTCTTTGGCTTAAAGGGGTCATATGATGCTGCTGAGAAGAACATTATTTTGTGTATTTGGTGTAATGAAATGTGTTTATGCGGTTTAAGGTTCAAAAAACAAATTATTTTCCACATACTGTACATTATTGTTTCTCCTCTATGCCCCGCCTTTCTGAAACGCGTTGATTTTTACAAAGCTCATCGGTCTAAAAGCGAGGTGTGCTCTGATTGGCCAGCTATCCAGTGCGTTGCGATTGGCCGAATACCTCAAGCATGTGACGGAAATGTTACGCCTCTTACCATACCGTGATGCCCTGTCCCGGCACGACCAGACAAAACCAATAAAACCCATTACAAACGAGGCATTGTTGCATCTAGTGGGGAATTAATTACGGATTATAATGACTTATACTGTCTTTTTACGCGCTGTGTTGCATCGCGTCGCATCGCGTCGCGTAAACATAAAACCATGTCTGCATTTGTGATCGGAGAAATTACAAACAACAAGCGCTACTCTACTTGTAACACTCCAAAGAGAAAGGAAAAATTGAAATCGGATCATATGACCCCTTTAAGAATACACTTTGCTACCACCAAAACACCCCAGTAACCACTTAGCAACACCCTTGCAACCAACCCTAGAAACCATCCAGCAATAAGATTAGACATGTTGTAACAGTATGACAGCTACTGCTCAATGTGGTGTCAATTCTGGAAGACCCATTGAAGTCTTCCAGAATCATCCAGTTTTGTAATAAGGAGGTCGTGTAATCAGACAGACTCATATGACCCTATGGGTCACCAGAGAACACTTATGTTTTGTTCTTCTGTGTTTGGGGTGTAAGTCAATACTTCCTCCTTTAGGTTTTCTTGGTTTGGTGGTGACTATCCACACTGCCTTTTGTAGTAAATTTGGCACTGAAGACAACGGGCCCCAAATTTCATTTTCATGGGACATTAAACTTTGACATATTTTTCTTGGGTTTGTTATACTTCTGAGACTTAGCAATTGTCATAGTTGTTATTCATGGTATCTCACATTTCGATGAAAACACATGGATCACATTGCACTTACTGTAAGTGCATCTTGTTAAGTGTTTTTTTTTTATCTCCTCCAATTGTTAAATACAAGATCAGCTCACATGATGGTGTGTTTCACTTCCCATGAATTCAACTTCAATCTCTCTTTTGTCCTACAGGTCAAGAGCGAGGGTCCAAAGCTTGTTCCGTTCTTCAAAGCCACTTGCGTCTACTTTGTTCTGTGGCTACCCACCTCAAGCCCCTCCTGGTTCAGTGCCCTCATCAAATGTCTGCCCATCTTCTGTCTTTGGGTTTTTCTACTTGCCCATGGCATCAGCTTTTTAGGTGCCCACTCCAGTGCCAGGAAAATCCTGGCAGGACTTATTTTTTCAGCTTTGGGTGACGCATTTCTCATCTGGCAAGAACAAGGCTACTTTAGTCATGGTGAGTTCATTCATTTGTGTTGCTCTGATTTGATTAAAAAAGGATTAAGAGTTATTTGCTATGTGGGTTGTTGGGAAAGGAAAGATATGTCATCCGTAGAACACAAATAATTTTGTTTATCAGAAGCTTTGTATCAATATAACATTGCATTTAACTTTTATTGCCATTCCAAATGTGGGTTCAGTGAGTTTAAGCAAATGATTTTACAGCAGACTGTGTTTTTTTTGCAAGTCACCACTATCAAGCAAAACATTTTATGTTCTAACCCTGAACTATCATGCCTGATTCAGCAGCTCTTGCATGGAGAAAGTAGTGTAGAAGTTGAATGAGTTTTTTTAGGTCAGGGTTGAGGGTTGGAATAAACCATTCTGCCCGAAGATACCCTTGGGAACCACAGAGTTACTCAAGCAATGTTTCCTTTAGAACAAACAACAGTGTTATGTTACCAAGAATAACATGTTTCCTGCTAAATCATGTAAAAGAGATATATACTGTATGTTATATGTTTTCATTCAGGGGTGTCCAATCCTGGTCCTGGAGACATTCTTGCAGAGTTTAGCTATAACCCTAATTAATCACATCTGAACCAGCTATTCAGGGTATTCAGATTTACTCGAAAGATTTACCAGGTGTGTTGGAGCTAAACTCCGCAGGAAAGTGGCCCTCCAGGAGCGGGATTGGACACCCCTGCTTTCACTGACATATTCTCAATGAAATTGTATTTGCCTTATCAGGACTGCTTATGTTCGCCATAACCCACATTCTCTACTCTTCGGCCTTTGGGATGAAGCCCCTCAACTTGAGAGCAGGTCTGGTCATTGCTGTCATCTCAGGCTTCAGCTACACCCTACTGTACCCCTACCTCTCTGGTCCCTTCACCTACCTGGTGGCTGTTTACATTGCTCTCATTGCCTTCATGGGCTGGAGGGCCATCGCTGGAGTCCAGCTTGCCAATTACCTCTGGACCTGGACTAAACTGTCGGCCTGCCTCGGAGCCGTCCTCTTCATGGTGTCCGACCTCACCATTGCCGTCAACAAGTTCTGCTTCCCAGTGCCCCACTCTCGAGCCATCATAATGGCCACCTACTATGCTGCCCAGATGTTGATCGCATTGTCGGCTGTGGAATGTCAAGACGCTGATGCGGCTCGGAAAAGAGCCTGAGGAAGCACACATTAACCAACCTTCCCCTAATGACTCAACATCGTTAACAGCTACACAGATTCAAGTTCCACTTTCTGCAACCCCTGGTCCATCCACAGTTCCCCTGTCTGACCGTGGCCGGGAAATATTGGTTATATTTGAGGAATTGCCATTTTAAGATCATGTGAGACCAAACCAATGGAAGAATTCTTGCTGGATACATGTACAAGGTTGGATAGTCTTGGACTCTTAGTCAGGTTGACTCAACCCATAATTACAATACTGCATTTGTTTCCTCTAGGAGCACCATCATTTTGGTATTGAGAAAGGAAAGACAGATTAGTTTTGGCCTTCTGGTTACTAGATCCAAATATTCAGATTTTCCCAACTTAGCCAACTTACTTTCCCATTAAGTGTTGTCTCCATTTTGACAGAGACTATTGCAGTGTCCTCTAAATGTAGGACAACGTATCTTGTCCACTTCAGAGAGTCCCTGATGGCTTATATTGTGAACAAAGAGTGAGTCTTGAGTGACATAGTGTCTGGCTCTATAATGGACTAGCAAACAATATAAAGTGGTTCAGACTCTTCTGAGGGGGCTGGTTTCCCCGTCTCACTGTAGATTTCCCAAATCTAATCAGAGAGCAGCATGAAAACCATTTTATACTATAGCAGATATGTTAGCGTAGTGCTGCTGTATAGCCTTGTCTTAGCATTGTGAGGTATACCTTATCCTGTGTCATTGACACATTGCAAAGTCATTTTGTTTCATAACTTGAGTTAGTACACAAACCTCCATGCCTACATGTGCTGGAGAAGTTGTCTTGTCATGCCTAATTGACTGCAACCAGTGCTAGCATTGTCTCTGGAGTAGATGAAGCCCGCATCCTACATTATCTTTTGAGACGTGACCAATAACAATAAGAAAACACAGCTCAAGACTCATAAAAATGGATGTCGGTCTCTTTCTTGGAGGGGATTTAGTGACAGAGTGTTATCTTTGGCTTAGGTTTCTGCCAAGTCAGCAGCATTGCTCAGTACCTCTACCACAAGGAAACTGCAAATAAGTACAAGTTGAACTATTTATTTTGTGTGTATAGTATAAGATAATATTTGTAAAGAGGGTGTGATGTCAGACGATACACATGTATCAAGCTTCCAACCACTTTCCTTTGTCTATTGCCAGTAGGAACATTTTACTCAAGGGAAAGTGGGACGCCCTGTGGTGGGCAATAAACATCTGTGTCGTCAGCTTTAGATTAGCCTGTATTTTATTTTCGAGCCAGTATTGTGTTTTTAAATTCTCACTCTTTTCTCATCTCATTCACTTCTATTCCTTCACCTGAAAATGTATGAATATTTCACAGCATGATTGAGTGAAAATTTGACAGCGTGTGGATATTTCACAGTACAGTGTTCTTCTTTTTTTGTGTGTGGTACTGTGCTTTATTAGCTGAGTCACACACTAGGGTGAATCACAACATATTTGAAGTCATATTTCACTACAAAATACAAAACGTATATATTTTGCATAAAGAAAATGTCTATTTTAGTGTAATTTTTGTATTACTTAACAGACATTCTACTTTTGTTGTGATGAGAATAATTCTGTTTTTTTTTTAAACAAATACTACATTTATAAGTAATATACAATTTAAATATAATTTTTTTCAGATTATGTTGATGGTAATTAATCCAGAATTAATTAATAAGAACTTAATTAACAATATCAATATCAGCCAATAAAAATTGTACTAAACTAGGCTTCATTTTGTTTATGCAAAATATTCAACTATAAACATTATTTTCTTTGGATTTTGGGGTGAAATATGACCAGGACATTCTTGACAGGCTTTGTGAGATTTAACACGAACACCACGTGTACTGTATTTATTATCAGTTGATTTGAACTGATTGCTGTTTTTTAAATATAAATCTCAATAAGGGATCATCAGCTGATCCTTCAGTAATATTAAATGAGGGAACCATCAGTCATGGAAAAAACAGCTTGGGCTGATATGTGCTCCGCTGTTGTACCCTCAGGTGTGAGTGGAAATTAGCTTTAAATGCAAACACAGCTGATTACTCAACAGTGGTCCATTTTGAAGTGATACAACCTGGTCGTGATGCAATATCCAATGGTGGAATGGCAGTAGACTCCGTTTTTCTTGTTTTTAATGTGAATGAAAATGGTGCCGTACTCTTGGGTAAGTTCAGTTTTTCATTCAAAGACTTGTTTTCATTCACATCAAAATAAATAGGGTGTCTACCCAACCCTGTTGGCCATTGCATCCAGCATACTGTTACGCACATAAATGCTATTGTCGTTATCAACACGCACACAGCTGAACCGCTGAGCTCTCGAGAAACAGCGAGGCTATTTTGACACATTTGCTTATTGCCAAGTTTCATAGCTTCCCTATTCAGGGTTCACATTGTCAGCAAAATATTTCAGCTTAGTCGAAAAACCGTACGTGATTTGCAAGGTCATCAAACAGCATGTCTCTTCAGAGCCATTGTGTGTCAAAATCGGTGTTGTGTTGTGAAGGTCTGCGGCGGAACGATATTTTGAGTGAAGTTATTATTGTCTGTTTGATGGTTTTCACGAAAGTAAAAGTTCGAAAGATCCCAGAGTTTTCCCCTGAATCACATTTTAGGGGCAAACGCAGACTTTTTTAGTGATTCAGTGATTCTTTTTTAGTGATGGCAGTTGCTTAGCATTTCTTTTCTCCTTAGTTTACAACCTGCTGTCACCTCCCAGATGGTTAGAATTTGATCTCACCTGGTCGTTTCCTTCTCTATTGTGTTAATGTGAATTCCATAGAGGAGAACAGGTGCCTTCTGTTTCCATCGATGAAATGCTGTCTGTCGAGAAGTGTGGAGACAGTCACTGGCACGGGGAAGATTTCCTTTCCATCTGGCTCTGCTTTAACTCGCGACCTTAGTCAAATGTCAGTGAGCGCGATCGTTTTACCCCCTCTGTCAGCGCTTGTGAGTTTGATGCTTTTGTGTCGAGTCGAGGGGGATGAAACAGAATGCTGGGAGTTCAGTATTAATGACAGTGTTTAGGTATAGCGGTCCTGTTGTTAAAGATAATGAGGAATAACCCACTTGGTTCAAAGCACACTGTTGAGGGATTTAAATATCTGCACTTTTCCAATTTATCTCTTTATTACCTTCCTGAAATTCAGTTTTTGGGCTTGAGGCCTGAAACATGCTCTACGCAAATGCTTGACGAAATTCCCAAGACCTGATATTGTGCATAACTGCGTTCCCAAATGCCAGTCTACAGTTCATAATGTGCTGCATTCTCAACGTCGCCACAAGGGGCACTGTAAGCTGTTTTTTCTTTCACGTTAACCACTGTTATGGAAGAGCTACAGTTTAAAGAGCATCTTACTGAGCAATTTAAATTAATGACGTTTATAGCTAGCTACATGAATAAAGGCTGTTCACACCAAGAACGATAACTGTAAAGGTAACGCTGACAATATTAGCATCCGCACCAACGGACAATAACGTTCTGTTTATCATAAGCTAACGCTGCAGTTTTGTCATCTGCTGCTTTAAATGCTCAAGCTCTTTAAAGTCAAATAGATTCTGATTGACTGTCAAAGTTTTTATCATTCTTCAGCTGGAAAAAAATTGTTTTGAAAGTGATTCCAACGATATCGTTCTTCTGTGACGTTAACGTTAGAGCTGTGATGTGGACTTCATTACTGCCATAGAATTAGAACAATTTTTAAAACCTTTTTGTTATAGTTAAGACCCATTCACAACAAGAATGTGAACTAAAAAGATAACTGTAATGATAATTAGCATCCACACGTTCCATTTATTATAAGCGCAGATTGCAGTTTTGTCGCCTGCCGCTTTGCTCGAGCTCTTTATAGTTAAATAGATTCTGATTGGTTGTCAAATGTTTTTATTGTTCATCACTTGGGGAAAAAACTATTCTGAAAGTGATTCCAATGATAGCCGTTCTTCTGTGGAATAGAATTTGAATGATTATTTAAGCTTTATAGTTACAGTTATCGTCCCTTGTGTGAACTGCCCTGTACTTGCGTAAAGTCAATTTCTGGCCTTACAGTGGTGTGCAATACAGTTTCGTACCCTGTGGATGAAGTTCTCAATGATTTTGAGTTTTCAATCTTCTGTCCTCTTTCAATTCAGACTTCTTTTTGCGTCAAAATATAAGGCACCTTTTAAATGCACTTTGCAAGAGAGGTTAGCATACTCCTTTTTCCTACGATTGTTGCCATCTTATTTTACTAAAATAAATGATTTGTTCCTAAATCTAATGAGCTACCATGCTGTCTTCTGTCTAAATCAGCAGCTGCCTTCTTATATGTGAGATTGAACATCAGTGACAGGAGACTTGCATTAGCATGTTGCTAAGCTAACACAATAGCATGCCACTACTCTCACAATAGACCATTTTATTTAGCTGGAACTCGTTTTTATTGATGTGTTTTCAGTATTGAGTGAAATTTGAATATATTTAACATTTCTTTCGACTTGTCCTCCATCATGGATTGATTTTTCACACAGTGCATTCTGGGATTGTCTTCTCTGTGAAAGATACTTGCAGTGATGTTTTAAAGTTTGGCTTGGTTGTCATCCTTCACAACAGGCATCTGTAATGCCTTGAAATGCTGTCTAGGTAGGTAGGTGATTGTTTTTGCTTTAGCACACCTTTTGTCTAATGTTTGCTGCAAACATTACGCACAATCACAACTTTACCAAGTTGGTTTTATATTATTCTGTATCACCTCTGCCTTTAAGAGTAAATCAAAGGGTAGTTGCTGTTACTAACATCAGATATAATCTGGGTCGGTTCCATTTTATGAGAAAGTCTTATATGATACCAATGTATTAACATTAATATTTACCATAGCTGACTCTAACTGCTGTCCAGTAGTAATAGCAAATATTGTGTATTCATATGTTGGAAATCACATTTTAACATTAGTTTCAGAAAAGTACAAAGTATATAAGATGGACCAACATTGCTCTAAAGTTCTTAGGAATCGAATATATGTAACATTTATGACTATGCTGTACGTAAAACTAAGGCAGTGACAATACTTTGGTAGTGAAAGCTGTGCAGTTTTGATTACAATCTTTAAAAATAGAAGAAAAAGAAGTGGTTTTATGGTCTGTGAACAATATTACTAAAATAAGGGAAGCTCTTATTTTTTGGAGTACCTCTCTCTTTCTCTTGTTATATATCTATATATTTTTTACAGTTGACCCTTAACATTGTGAAGTTACTATTATGTTGTGAACGAATGCTGTTATATTTTGCAGAGTCTATTCAATATTTTGCCTTATTGTTATAATGTCCATTAGTTGAATTCCTTTCGTTATCGTTGTTAAAGGACTGTAGTTCTCCTTTACTATAGTGATATTGCTATGAGTTTGATCAAGTCCAAGTGAGAAATAAATGCAACTGCAATGCAACTGAAAACATGCTACAAGTGTGTTTGTCTCATTATTGTCAATAATGGCATGCAGAAGATGATGAATCCTTAAAGAGACAGTTCACCCAAAAATGAAAATTATTTTATTTACCCGTAAGAAGTTCCAAGCCTGTATTAATTATGGAAAACAAAACATTTTTAGTACTGTTTTGGTCCTTTTTGGGGCTTGACAGTTCCAGTCCCCCTCCACTTCCATTGTATGGAAAAGAGCAGCTTGAACATGCTGCTAAACCTCTCCTTTTGTGTTCCTCAGAGGAAATAAAGTCAGACGGGTTTGGAACAAGATGGAATAAAATACTAAAAATACAATACTCCTATTTGCAGTAAATATTTATTCCTTTAAAAGAATACTTACCCCAAAATTCATCCTATGCACCTAATGC